AACTTTTATAAATATTTTTTGTAAAAATCTTGCAATTCAGCTTTTAATATTAATGTCTATGTAAGTCAGGTTTTAGTTGCATTTGGAAAAGCACATTGCCACGTAGACAGATGGGAATTCTGAAGTGGTCCAAGTGCGTATGCATCAAAACAATTTTGGATTTCTTCTATAGCAGGCAATGCAATTTTCTAACACAGTCTGCTGTTATTATGAGGACTATCAGTTTCTCAGATAAGTCCAGTTATTATTGTGGTCAATTTATATATATCCCAGATATCCCACAAACAACTAATTGTTGCTGGAGGAATACGCTAAAGAGTGATTCCACTTTAAGTATTTGCCCGTTTACATTGTGGGTACTCCTGCAGCAGCATAGTATGTCAGAATTTTTGGTAGGGGCTCGCCCAAGCTCCTCTCCTGTCTTCCAGTGCCTTATGTGTGGTAGGAAAACAGAGGAGAAACATAACTGGCTGTCACACTTTTTATCAGCCAATGAGATGAGTTTCTCTTTTCACTTTATTTTCACTGTACCCTAAGTTTTTGTCACATCATTTCAGCCTCTCTTTTAATGTTCTAAATCTCAGCACTGCTGCTTTATTCTTAAAAATTTTTACTTTTGCCCAAGGCTTGTCTTAAAGGCAATGTTTGGAAAAAAAAAAAAAAAGAAAACAGTCGCTACTTGACTGGCTACAGCTTCACCAACAAATTTTGAGAACTGTGTTACTTGTGGTGGCAAATTTGCCATTTCATGTGGCCACAGCCGCTGTCAGTACTGCCTGTCAGGGTACAGCTAGGGCTGTCTGCTTCCAAGGGGCAGTGTTGAGGGGGATCCCTAGACTGGTAGGACAGGGGCCTCACAAGCCGGGGCCTGGTCCACTGGCCCCAAGCAAGGCAGCAGGGCAGTCAGGGAGCAGTTCATAGCCCAGAACATCAGGCAAATTTGTGGTGGTGAGGCAGGTCTGAGCTCAGGCTGGTAAGTCAGTCTCCAGGTCAAGGTCAGTGCTGGTGAGAGTAGCCAGGGCCACACACAGGCAGGCATCCCTTGCTGGGCAGGTCCGTGGTGATAAAACAAGTCCATGGTCAAACTGGGAAGTCAGTCCGTGGGTTGGGATACAGATCAGTGGGGTCTGTGGTCAGGCTGGGGCACAGCTGTGGCTGAGCTGGAAAGTTGGCAGTGTCGCAATGTAGCTCAAGTACGGACTAAAGGCTCAGGGCTGAGCTAAAATGGGGCTGTGGGCCATGGGCAGGGAATGAGGGTGGAGGCCCCAGATGATGCTAATCAGGGCTGTTGAGGCCTACGAGTGCGCTTGAGGCCCTGACATTACCTAAAAGAAAGATGCGTTGTTGCCGTGTGCCTACAGACCTGTCAAGCCCAGAATCAAAAAAAGGACAGGTAGCGATGCTTGCAAGAGTATCTGCTTTATCAACTCAGGAATTCCCTCATAAGTTCATTAGAGAAGAACAGCATCACATACTTGGGGCTTGGCCAAAATCCTTTTCCAGAAGAAAGCTAGGTCTGCCTGAGGCTGTATTTTGTGTAGGCGCTGTTCTTTTAAGTCCACAAAACACTGGAGATTGATTTTTTTTTTTAGTTTGGATCTGAAAATTTCTGACCCAGTGCGGAATCAAAGGTGGCTCATTTGAAATTTCTCTTCCTTGTTACGGGCAGGAAAATCCTTAGCTCTGCACATTTGATTAAAGCAAAGGTTAAACCCTTTAGATAAACCTGCAGTGGAGGTGCACAGAAGTCTCTCATGGCTTTGACATGATCTGCTTTGTCTTACGTCATGCTGTCTTTAAGGATATCCTATACAACTGTAGGTGCCTGCCAAAACATGTTATTGGTTTGGATCTCATGAGTGCAATAGTTAGAATGTTCTTAATATCGTGCATGTACTGTTGCCTTTATAATTGGTTACATGGGAGTGGTGAGGTTTAGGGCACTGTAGATCCTGCTACACTAAAAACCCCTCATTCAAAAATACTAACAGAAAAGGTACCTACAGTGTGCACATGCATAGAGATGGCACACTTTTCTGAACATTTTTTACAGAAAGTTCTGTAGCTTTCTCTTGAAGTTTCTGGATCTTTAATTTCTTAACCAGCTTCTCGCATCCTATCCCACTGTGGACATTCCATCCCTGTTTCAAGAATCAGTAACTTCTTTTAGGAAGAAGCTGAGGAGCATGGGTGACAAAAAAGTATTCTTGTTCCCTTTTTACTCCTCTACTTCTCTTCCTGTCTGATTCTGTGCATGTCCCTTTTTCAGCAGCAGAGGAAAGAAAAAGTGAAACCTTTTCTCTTCACTCCCAGATCGTCAATTGAAAGAGATTTTTGACAGAGAGATGGAAGCCTGTATAGCCTAAAATGGTCTGCAGGAGTCTAGGACCTCTGCCCTAGAGTACACAGTTTGATACATGTTTCTTCACAAAGAGAACTCTTTTAGTAGGATCCTCTTGAGTATCATAGCTGAAAAAGGGAGTTAATGATGTATGGGGGCTGAATCAAGGCACTCAGAAAACCAAGAGAATTTGGCTCAGATAGTGAAAGATAAGAGACTAAGAGAGAAGTCCTTTGGGAGAAATGGTCAAGAGAGCTAAAGTAATTTTCCCTACTGCAAGACGAGATTCCTTCAGTGACAGATGACACATACTAGTGGGCTATCTTTTCATTTTGTTTAAAAATACTGAAGGTCTCCAAAAGCGATTATGTACTTCTGGTAATATTAATCTCTCCGTTACTGCTATCTATAGCATATCAGTTTGACTAACTGATCCGTAGCAGGTCAACAATTCAGATTATAGATACAGTATAATTTCTTCTGTGAATGGTACTACACTCTTACATACATCAGACTTTTCACCTGGGAAAGCCTGCTGCACATGACAGATCTAGAACACAATTGATAATTGTTGCATAAAGAATATGAAGTAGTTCATAGCAAAAGAAAAGCTGACACTTTTTGTTCGTCATGTCTATAACGTTTAATTTCTCTTTCTCTAGTTGTCATCTGCTATTGTCTTACTTTCTATTAGTTCACTTTTAAAAAATGAATTTTTAGAGTTAAAAAGACACACTTTGAAACCTCTCATTTTCTCTCTTCTTTCAGCTTCAAGGATATAATCCTGGATTAAATGCAAATAATCATGAAAATAGTAATGCTGTTACAGACTGTGTGCAAACTGATTCCTGCAAAAGTTGCTTTGACCAACTATAGTAGAATATACATGTAAATAATTTTTAGTAGTGGAAACAGTGCAGCTAGTTCACACCTAATGACACTCCGGAACAATCATACCAAGTATGATTTTAATCCATTAACTTTCAGTCTGTTTTGTTTTGTCATCTTTGTTTCAATAAAATACTCTAGGCTTTTAATTTGGCAAGAGGGGGTAAGAGGATCATAGAAATATATAGAAAAGGCTAGGACAATTGCCCAATATATATTTGCATGAGACTTCTGACACTTCAATTTTTAAAGTGTTTTAGGAGATTACATAACTCCTCTTTACTATTAATTTAGAAGTTATTAGTCCATATCTCTTTTGAACACAGCTGTTTGTGTTTCCTAAATAGACACTCAATAATAGAGCAGCTAAAACAATCTAATGTGATTTTTAGACTCCAAACACCTGTAGATACCACTGATTTCAACAAGACTGGTACATTACACATCAGATCATGATGCTGTGGCAGCTTATTTATGCGCTCAGATTTTAAAAACCCTTAATTTTTTTTTCTATTTGTTTTTTAAAGGTTTCTAATTTCCATGAATTGTAATGGAGTTTAAAATCTACCCTGAAGCCTAGTCCAATGTTTAGCAAGTAATGAAATAATTCACATTAGTTATGCTTACCATTAAAGCGTTGCCTAACTTTTGTTAGAAGGAAGCTATGTTAGAAGCAAGCATATTACAAAACAAGCAATTAAAACCTCTGTTGAATGGAAGCATTTGCACTGTTGCCCATTTCTAATTTATATTCAATTCAGCAGATGTTCACCTTTATCTTTTTTTAGAATATGGGCAGCAAAAAGATGCTTTATGCTTTTCACTTCTGTGAGACTATGTCAAGCACCTGATTGCACGCAGATGCTAGCTAATAATAATTTTGAGGCTGGAGATGGTACTGAAGTATGGTTATGATTGGAAACAGCAACTTTGCTATGTGACGAAAGATGTGCTATAATATCTGTCATTTAGAGGTGGATGCACACACTGCTGAAAGGTTTTATTCAATTTAATCAGTGACAGATTTTGCATTCACAGCTCCAGTTTATTAGTATATTTAGTACTGTCACCACAGAGCTAGAAAACTTATTTATACACTCTGGATTATTATCCAATATTATCCATATAGGAGACAGAAGTTTTTATGCTATGAGTCATGGAGTACTGCACAATTAAGGTACTGATGTACAATTTCGTATTAGAGGTATTAAACAAGTTTGATAGCTGTATATTCCTGAGAATTTCCGTAATAGATTTTATATTGAGTTCTATTAGGACTGCATACTGATGAATACAACCCAGGTGACTGTTAAAAACTTGTGTTCTAGGCCTATGAGTGTAAGATCTAAGGAAGATAAGTTTATAGGAGAGAATATCTGTTATTATCTAAACTTGGAGGAGGGAGGAGGAAAAGACAAGGCTTTTGGGCACACAAGCTGATCATACAAAAAGGTAGATCTTAAGGAGTGTAGCATACTCATATCCTCTTTTTTCATCATGCTGGTTCTGTGATTCTGTGATCATATTAGTGGGTCAGACTGTATATATGTTTACAAAGCTTTCAGGTTTTGAAACAGTGATCCACCTGTTTAAAGACAAGAAAAACACAGAACAGCTGAAACAATGCAGTTTGATTTTTAGGCTCCAAACATATGTAGGTGCTACTAATTTCTTGGTATTTTATGAGATACATATATAGTGCTAACTTTAAATATATTAAAAATACAATAAGTAACAGATTATTTATTTTCCTTAATACACTACAGAGATACCAATGTGCTTGCTTGCCTGGATGGGAAGGAACATTTTGTGAATATGAATCAAATGAATGTAAATCAGAGCCTTGTAAAAATAATGGCACCTGCACAGATCTTTTCAACAGCTATGGGTAAGCATTTCATGTTCTCACTATATGATTACGTTCCAGGAATGACAGACTTAGGGATCCAGTTATTCTCTTATTCCTCAGCTTAGTGAATGTTATGCTGCTGCACAAAGATGAGGAAACAACTTCTATCATGGATACAGTGCTTCACTGTACATCTATTTGAAGACAGCAACCGAAATGAATTGTAGATGGAAAATTAAACAAACACATCAATTCAAAACACTTAGCAAGTAATCTAATTTAGAACTGTATTTTATCAGAGAAAATACAGGATTTCTTTCTGTCATATATGTCCTGTAAGCACAGGTGATGGTTTAGGAGTAAAGGCAATGGGTGTGTTTATAGTCTTAGATTAAGAGATTGTATCATTGCTGCCACCTTGTGGCTTAAAATAAAGACAAAATAGCAATTTAACTAAAATTTACAACCACACTGGGAGGAAGCCTGAGGATTTGGCACTATTTACAGCCATGCTGTGAGAGAGCCTGAGGATTTGACACTAACGATATTACTTCTAACTCAAACACCAATCTTTCTTCCATTCATGCATGTATGATTTAAAAGTGATTTTGTTTAGCATTATGAGGATAAGGACTACATAAACAATCTTGCAATCAGTTTTTGTTGTTTGTAATTATAGCCAGGGTTCACCTATATTATGATGTCAATACTAGATTGGTCATTCTATAGCTGAATGTAAACTCTAATAGACACAGATATAGATGCTCAAAGCACAGAGTGTAAGCAAATGACTGTACACAGTCTAGTGGTTGCACAATAACAACATTCTTAGTAGTACATTCATAAAACGGAAAGAAAACCTACCACAGCTGAAAATAGATAAGCAGTTCCCCAGGTAGAGAAAGACAATTTTCTTTTTATTTTTCTTACTTTTATGCTTGTTTGAAGCAGTTTATGATTAGCCCTGATATAATTACATCTCTTTTGATTAAGATGATTCTGAGGAGAAAAAAAAAACTATTTTGGGCTAAACACAATTTTTTGTATTGTGACATGAACTAAAACCCTTTAAATCCTTTTATTTTAAAAATAATAAAATCAATTTTAAAAGAGTGCATTTTGAACTTAATGAATGTTTATTATCACTTTTTCATACCAATTTGTTTTCAGACTCTAACTAAAATACTTTTCCATCATTCTAGAACTGTATTTTTACATAGTATTAGAGGTACTGTTTTAGTAAATGATATTGGATTTCAGTTCAGTAACAGAAAAAGAAAACTCTAATGAAATCGAGGAAATCTTTTTAAATATTTGTGATTGCTTTTTTTCCACTTTCTTATATGTACTGGCACATGAAAAAACTGTTTGAAGAAGACTTTTTATTTTTGTAGTTTGCATTTTTGTGTCTATCTTTGTAGACTAGTGACGAAAAGTATTCTATAACTGCATAATCTATGTATCTCATTAGCTGATAATTACAGGAACTTGCATTCTTACATAATATACTGGATTATGTAGACAAATGTGCAGTTTCACTATTTTCAAGAAAAATTCTAGATTTTTGAATATTCTGCAGTGATGTATAGGGCTGTCAAATCACATCTCACCTGTTCTTTCCAGATAGCTTCTGGAAGCATTGCGTATATCGCAGAAAGTAATACGGCTTCTTCAGGTTTTCCTCATAGATAACTGGGCCATCTCCATGAGAAAAAAGTGAAGGACTCCCTATTGTACAAATTAAAAAATAAAAATAAAAAGTATATTTTCTGGATTAGTCAAATACTGAACAGCTGAACAGTTACAGAAAACGTTTACAAGAGAATTGGTTTGAACTGTGAGCACCACACACATTTCTCCTCAGAAGTGTTTGTCCTATTTGACATAGCAGAACCAGAAAATTAGACCTACCATTGAATCACAGTATACAAGGGTCACGATGAGCTAGTTCCGAGATATCAGTAGCTGAATCTGGGAGCCGGAGATTTAGCAGCCACAATGAAAATGAGCTTGGACCAATGTTTTTGTTGTATAATCTAATGCAATTTCATTTCAATCATTAGAGTTGCCCTATTTTACACTCACAGATGTTAAAAGACCTTCTGCTTATTTTTACAATTACTCTTATTTAACATCCGAAAGTTTTTCCCCTGTTAGCTTTTTAGCACTTTTTTCTTAAAAACAACAGCAACAAAACAAAGTAAATGTTCCATCTGAAGGCAGCTAAGCAGTGCCCATACACAATATCTGACCGTGAGGCCATTTAGTGGTATATCCAAAGTTAAACTTGCTTGTCCTCTAAAAAAGGATAATTTTATCCTAAATGCCTAATACAAAAGATCCTTAGCTCATGCTAACTCTTGAATTGTGCCTAGGAATTGTTTGGGATGAGCACTAGGAACTGCTCTGAGAATGTAGCATTGATAGACAATGCAGTTACTTAGCCTGTGTCCATGTTCTGGCAGTGTTTATTTTCCTGGTGGAAGTGTAGCTGCTGGCAATGACTGTGCAGATTTTTCTGAATTTGACTAAATCTGGCCACACCACTGTTGGTACTCATCATCCCTTATTGCTAGGAAATGCTTGGTCAGTCTTCTCTGAAAATTAATAGGATAGATGGATAACATTGCTTTCTCTGATGCCTTTGGTAATACTCCCTGGTGTACTTCATCTAAGCGTTTTCAAATCCACCTGAAAAGACCAGCCCCTGAAAAACTAAAGAATTGATTGTGCAACAGCACATAAAATATATCTTTGTGTAGAAAAAAGAAAGAATACAATACAAAAGAAAATACTCTTGTGCCAAGTTTCAAATCTCTGATAGCGAGAAGAATAATTCAAACTATTATTGTTAGTTTAAAATTTCCCTAATAAGTTAATCATGTACTGGGCACTATTCATTTTTTGAACCTTGCTGCCAAAACTAAAGGATCAACAAGTAGCCCAGGACTGAAACCCTTTCTTTGTGGATTTCATCATAATAAAATAAGTAATGTCCTAACAATGAGAAAAAATATATTATTAGTTGCACAATTTTTATTAAAAAGAACAGAATAGGAAAGCTTCCTGAACTAATAGTTAGGCTTGGATTATTAAGCACAATTCATCTGTTAGATAGTTCCTCCTTCATTCCAGCTTATTCTTGTTCAGTTGACAAACTAAGAAATTTCTCTTTCTCCCTGCACCCTTTTCAGTTTGGCACATGGCACAGCAAAGAAACGAATTTGGAAACATTTCATGCATTTGTTTTCAGTGCACTGTGTTCCTCACTCTAATTCTCACTACAACATAAACTCTCAAATTATGTCACTCAACATTTATACACAGATGCCTCTGTTATCAGTGGAATTCCCTGCTTGTACTGTATCCTTTTGTACCATCTTTACTGATATTTCTGAGGTTCTGCCCTAATGACATCAAGCCTTAATTAAAGCCTTTGCTCTCCTTTGCTGTTACCACCTTCCTTGCAGAGGAACTTTTAAGTGAAAATCTCTTCCAAGTCTTTTTGCAAAATAATAGACAACAGTATTTTCCAGGTGAGCTGGTGTTTCTAATGAGGTTCAATAGTTTGAGATTTGGCTTTAATCCATATGACATGAAAACCTGGAAAGTAACGCAAGTGTCTTTCCATGATGCTCACTTCTTTCTGCATATCCAGAGAAAGCCCACAAATTCATGCCATTAGCTATTTTGGCAGTATTGGTTGTTGAGATTTTTATTAAGAATGAATATGCTAAGAAATATATTTCCCTATGCCATCTTTTGATCTCACATCCTTTGTAACAGTTTTGATGTTTGCTTCAGTAGACTGAAGAAAAGTTATCCTTCATCAACATTTGAATCCATCCACCAGGTAGCATTCTATAATCTTCTCATAAACCGAAGTCCATTTTTAATATTATGGTTATAATTTATATTTTTTTCCTTTTTGTCACTTTTTTACTTTTTCCTTTTTAAAACACTAACAAGAAGTACAGAAAAGCCATCCTCACAGTATATTGATTCACTGATAGGAACACATAGTGGCTGTACTGGTAAACTGAACAGTGCCAGTCTGAACTGCCAGAGCTCTACCCACAATCTCTATTCCCTATCACTTGTACTGAAGTATATATTCCTTTCATTGTAACTGCATTGAAGATATGTGTGTTGCAAATGAATATATACATCTATATATATCAGTTAGGGACCTGAAGACCTCTGTGATGGGAACGTTTAAAAAAACTGAAAAATTATGCCAGTTCCAGACTTTAAAACAGCTCTTCACTGGACTGATGATATTCGTTAACAATATACGTTATCAAAGATTAGTTCTTAATCGCTATTAATCTTTTTCATTCCATATACAAAATCGTTAGTACTTTACAAACGTACTAAATGACTGTGCAGTACCATGGAACTGATGCTGTTTAGTTACAACTGCTGGCTATGATTGTTGATGATTGATGGTCACTGAGGTCAAGATAGCCGGTCCCTAGAGCTCTTTGATGAGGGAAACAGAAACCAAAGTGGGCTTTCTTCTTTCTTTCCCATCTTTCCTCACTCGTCGTTGATATTTTATGCTCCTCTGCTCCCTCCCTAAAAGAAAAGGCTGATCTTACATGCAGTTGATATCTTATTTTTGGAATCTGGACTCGTCTTGTTTATTTTGTAGAATTATTTTGGTTCTACCAGATATTTTTCCTGCCTGCTCATTCCTATCCTGCAGATTTTACTAATTGCTCGTGTTTTGCTGCACCCTGTTTGTGCAACTATACCACAAGTCTCCTTTTATATGTTTCCTGTTATGGTTATTATTTATATATTTAAGGCTAGCTGTGTTACAAAATGCTGTCAGTGGTGTTAAAATATTACGGAATGCTTATACACTCCTTTCACTTAATACTCTTTTAGTGCGTATATCTGAGTTCAAGGCAAGCGTTAGTTACTGTTTGTTTAGACTGCTTCTAAGCACCCTTCTTAGGTGTAGTGGTCATCTTCAGCTGCATATGATACAGATGACTGGTGGAGATCACATACGTGTGTACTCAATAAAAAAT